CCCAGAAAATAAAATGCAAAAATCCAGGGGTAAGGATACATTTTGTCTTTTATAGCCAGTTCTTGAGAGCCATTTATTCAGACTGTAATTAGATGTTAGCAGAGGTACAAACTTTATGTGCAAAGAGTAAGCAGGGCTACCCAAAAGACACTAGCTAAACCCTTCAGAATCCTCACATTCTTCCTTGTTTCTATTCATTTCACTGTCTGAGTTTTTTTTTTAAGATTTATTTATTTATGCACACAGAACTGGGGTACAGGCCAGAGATGGGGAGGGTGAGAGGATTCACTAAAGACAGAGCGGGGAGCGGAACAGGCAGATCAACAAAGTACACTGCTGAGGGGAGCAGCGGGCGGATCAGGAGAAGTCTGCAGCGCCATGTGGATCTCCTCCTGGGCAGGGGAGATTGAACTGATGTGGAAGTTGGCTTAAGCTTCTTAGTGTTGTGTTTTAACTCGCTGTGCCACCAGGGAGGGCCTCACTGTCTGAGTTTTAAAGAAAAAAAAAATAAAAATGTTCATGGAGGAAGCAATACTGATATTGAATTTTGATTGCTATTTTTCACTCTTCAAAAATGTATATAAACAAAATGCAAAGTCACGTAGCTCAAACTACTGTCTGTTTGCTCATAAAGGAAAATGCTTTATATGCAAAATTTTAAGTGAAAGGAGATGTCAGGTCTCCAAAAGTAGCTATTATCAAACAAAGCAGCCAGAAAATTAATGCAGTGGAGACGGCTATGACCACAATCTTGGATATCAGCCTGCGTCTTCATCTCTCTTGGAAGGAACGTGTTTCTGAACTACTTATTGTACCCACGGAGCCTATCTATGTGTTCTAGTTCTTTGGTGTAAAATTCCTTCCCCTCCTTTACTGAGTGTTTTTTTTTTTTTAAGATTTTTATTTATTTACTCATACAGAACTGGGGTATAGGCCAGAGATGCAGAGGGTGAGAGAATTCACCAGGGACAGAGTGGGGAACAGAACAGGCAGATCGACGAAGTACACTGCTGAGGGGAGCAGCGGGCGGGTCAGGAGAGGTCTGCCAGCCATGTGGTCACCTCCGGGGCAGGCAGGCGGGGATAGAACTCATGCGGAAGTGGCTTTAGCTTCTTTGTGCTGTGCTTTAACCCGCTGTGCCACCAGGGAGGGCCTTACTGAATGTTTTTTTAACCACCTAGTTACTTTTTTCCACAAAGCCTTGCTGACCCCTTACCTCGAGTGAGGGTCAAAAAATGAATGGCTTGTGGGAATATTGAGAACTTTTTGTCATATACAGATATAAACTGGCCACTTAAAGACCCAATCGGTTTGATCCTCTCCCTCAGTGTAAAGTAACCTGCCTGTGCCCTGTTGGCATAGCTACCCTCACTTGGTTCTCTAACCCAGGCAGTTAAGGAAGGGAATCTACTTTAGCAAGTGCCTCCAACCTCCTTTTCTTTCCCTGATCACAGAAATCAAGCTGTTCTAGAAGGGAGTATGTGTGTGTGCATGGTATTTTAGATAATCCCATATTCTTACTAGTTGAAAATTGCCACATATAATGTGAGGTCACAGATAGATAAAAGATCTCAGACAGTGACTTCCTTTGTATTAATTAGGAAAATGCACATCCAAGGCTTTAGTAACAAAATAATACACCTTTGTTTTTGTATATTTGATATCTGGTTTATCTATGTCACTAGTAATAGCAATGGCTGTAATTTATCACTTCAGAGAAGAAACCAACAGTTTTAACTACAAAATTAAAAATAATGGTGACCCTTTGTTGCTATGCCAGAAGTTAGCAACTATATTTATTAGTTATATAGCCAGTAGTCAAAACTCCTTTTAACATCCTTTTGTTTAAGAAAATCTATTTCATCTATATTAAAGCCTAGTAAATGCAAACAAAGCAAAAAGAGCAAAGTCAAGTTAATATATTTAATTTGAGTAATTCCTCAGAGAAAACTCACTCATGTTTATGTAGCACTGGTAGAACCTCTCCTCTGGACTGATTGTACTGGGTGCCCTAATTTTTTATTCGTTTTGTCCTCACCATATCCACAGAGGCATGTTGGTACCAGCCTCTGGCTGTAGATGAGGAGCTGAGACCTGAAGGAATCAGGTTTGCAGGCAAAAAGCACAGGGCCAGAGCCAAGACACAAAACCAGGTTTTTCTCACTCCAAAGCATCTTTTCTAGTCAGTAAACAGCTACACTGCCAGCTGTACTCACCCTGTAGTGTAGTAAAAAATACATCTTTCAAGGGTGCGCATTCAAACACTTGGGAAAAAAAATTCTTCTTAGGATCCTACTCTTAACATTTACAATCATGAGTTTTCTGAAGGATTAAACAAAACGGGTGTGTATAGTAAGTCTCAGAGGCGTTCCTCTTGGAGTCATAGTTCTTCCATCTCTTCTTGGCCCACAGAATGTTCCCAACAATGGGCCAGGAACAGAGAGGAAATGAAGAGTCATTAATGCAGGAAGTGTCCTTAAGGACAGCTCTGATGTCATTTATCGCCACCTTCCAAGAATACTGTGGATGGCCTCTCATAGACAAGTGACAAATAATATCAATTAAGTCTGTTAAAATAATGGCAAATGTCACTGAGAAGGATTTGTGCTAAACTTACATTAACTCAAGCAAATGTCCCCTCTTTGCAAAGGTGGGTAGTATGAGGTGATATGGGGTTAAGGCAGTCAGATCCATGGCTGGAAGGAATTGAATTCTGTTCTGAGTATGCTAAGGATCTTCAAAAGAATTTTTGCCAGATGAATGGCAAGATTCTTAACTCTATAATGAACCTGTATTCTTGACTGAGTCCTGACCACATATTTGATGCAAAAGACTGGTAAGAGTGGCCCTCCCTGGTGGCATAGCGGGTTAAAGTGCAGCACTAAGAAGCTAAAGCCACTTCTGCATGAGTTCGATCCCCGCCTGCCCCAGAGGTAACCACATGGCGCGGCAGACCTCTCCTGACCCACCCACTGCTCCCCTCAGCAGTGTACTTCATCAGTCAGTCAGCCTGTTCTGATCCCCACACTGTCTCTGGTGAATCCTCTCACTGCCCCTGTACCTCTGGCCTGTACCCCAGTTCTGTATGCATATATAAATAAATCTTTAAAAAAAAAAAAGAGTGGTTAGAAATAGTGACCAATACACTTATTGATTTACACTCTGAAAACTAAAAATGTGGGCAGAGGTTAGAAAAAATGTTATTCTCACTTTCTCCTAGAGTGCCTGAGAAAGAAGCAATGTTAAACTAAGTTTGACAGAGTATTCAGTCCATGTTTCCTCTCCTTCCCCACTACCTTATTCTTCCTTCATATTGGGTTGCAGTGGCCAGTCCCAGACTCCAGCAGAGGAAAACACTTGTATGTCCTAATACTACACGATAGTGGCCGTGATGTGTAGGCCGCCTTTAGTATGTTCCTGTCATCATGGGGAAGAGATGAGCATGACCAGAGGCCAGATGTTGCCTTTCCTCACTTCTGCCCATTTCTGCCTAAGCCCTCTTCCTGAGTGAGATTTCAGAGTCCCCAAGCTCAAGTGACAGAGCAAATTAACATGGCTCTTGTTGTCATGTATCATTTCCTCCCCTGCGAAACTCTTGTATTTTTCAACAGAAGTCTGTGGCTACTGATTTTTTTTTTTTTGTAACCCATGTTTATGAATGTTCCACTGAAAACACAAGAGTGAAATTTGTGGGACAGCTGAGCAATGGAACTCTAGGATTTTTTAAAGCAGATAGCTCTTAGATACACATAATAAAACATTTACAAGTTGAAGGATAAAATGTAAAATGTTCAGGATTTGTTTTAAAATAGCATGGGAGACATTGCAATAGGAAGGGATTTAGGTTTGGAGTTAACAGTTGTTGAAGATGGGCAATGGGGCTCATTGTACTGGCTTTTGTTTCCATTTCTTTTATTTGTATTAGAATGTTTAATAACAAAAAAAAAGTTTGCAAAAAGATCAAAATTGGTTAAATTTGCTTTAAAGTCACATTAGAAAACCATTTTGAAATAAAAAATATTTGTGTAATTTTCACGATTTGACATTACATGGAATAGGCAGATCTAAAACTGTACATAACATATTAACTATGCATACATACTTACATATACCTGCAAATTGAAGAACAAAGCCACCAAAAAAATGCAGCTTATTGGCCCTCCCTGGTGGCGCAGCAGATTAAAGCACAACACTAAGAAGCAAAAGCCACTTCTGCATGAGTTCATTTCCCGCTTGCCCCAGAGGTGACCACATGGCGTGGCAGACCTCTCCTTACCCACCCGCTGCTCCCCTCAGCAGTGTACTTCATCAATCTGCCTGTTCGTCTCTCCACTCTATGGTGAAGCCTCTCGCCGCCCCTGAGCCTCTGGCCTGTACCCCAGTTCTGTATGCACAAATAAGTAAATCTTTAAAAAAAAAAAAATACAGCTTAGGATTGTCCCTAGCTGGTGAGAATATATGTATTTTTTCTTTATTCATTGCTACTTCTATGTATTTTCTAACATCTCGAGAAAGAAAACATATTATTTATAATTTCATAAGCCATATTTATGATAAAATGTCAGATTTGGATATGAAATACAGTCTCCAAATTCCATTTTTGAAAGTGTGTATGTGATTGTGCATGTGTTGTTTGTTTGTGTGTGTATGTGTGTTAAAGAAACAAAATCCAATTGTTAATGGATATTGTCTGCATGGTGGCATAAATGATAACTATTTTTCTTTTGTCTGGGTATACATTTTCTTCAATTAATTAGTGTGATGATAAAATCAGAAAAATGCAGCATGAAAAAGCTAAAGCTAGATGTATTACATTTCTTTATAAAGAAAAGAAGCTCAGTAAAGGAGTATGTAAATACACATAAATGAATCCAAGAGAATTTTAAATTCTCACTTAACGGGTATGAAGTCCTTTGAACAGCCGCCATTACTTGCTGATGCTCTAGCTTTCATGTACTCAGTTCCCCAATAACCACGTTTCATTTCCCATCCATCTCCAGGTATATCCATGCCAATCCCAGTCTTTGGGCTACAGGATGATTCCAAGGTCTTTAAGGAGGGAAGTTGCTTACTCGCTGATGATAACTTTGTCCTGATCGGCTCTTTCGTGTCATTTTTCATTCCCTTAACCATCATGGTGATCACCTACTTTCTAACCATCAAGTCACTCCAGAAAGAAGCGACCCTGTGCGTGAGTGATCTTGGCAACCGGGCCAAATTATCTTCTTTCAGCTTCCTCCCTCAGAGCTCCCTGTCTTCAGAAAAGCTCTTCCAGCGGTCGATCCACAAGGAGCCTGGGTCCTACGGCCGAAGGACTATGCAGTCCATCAGCAACGAGCAAAAAGCCTGCAAGGTGCTGGGCATCGTCTTCTTTCTGTTCGTGGTGATGTGGTGCCCCTTCTTCATCACGAACATAATGGCTGTCATCTGCAAAGAGTCCTGCAATGAGGACGTCATCGGAGCCCTGCTCAACGTGTTCGTTTGGATCGGCTATCTCTCCTCAGCGGTCAACCCACTGGTGTACACACTGTTCAACAAGACCTACAGGTCTGCTTTTTCACGCTATATTCACTGTCAATACAAGGAAAATAAAAAGCCACTGCAGTTAATTTTAGTGAACACTATACCGGCCTTGGCCTACAAGTCCAGTCAACTCCAAGCAGGACAAAAAAGGAATTCAAAGAATGACGCCCAGACAACAGACAACAACTGTACTATGGTTACTCTAGGAAAACAGCAACATTCAGAACATGCAGAAGATGTTCCTACAGACCGTGTCAGCACAGTGAATGAGAAGGTTAGCTGTGTGTGATAGACTAGTTGCCATGGCAACTGTAAAGGGCACATTGAGCAAGTTTTCACCTATCTGAAAAGAAAAAGAAATAGGGAGGCCAAAATAAATTAAGTCAGTCTAGCGAAGCCAACAATAATATGCATATGCCTCATTTTATCTGTCAATGAAAAGCAGGGTTTAATGCCACAAAATGTGCACTTCAAAAATGTTCTGACAGCATTTCAGCTGTGAGCTTTATGATACTTATTTTTAACAATGTAAATGATATGTCTTTAAAATAAGTAGCTTTTATCATATACATATAAGGAGGCCATACATAAATCTCAATTAACTTCTATTTTCAAGTGGAAACCTTGCTACAATATTGTTCATTGATGGCATGCGTTGGTTACGTATTGCTGTAAATAGCTATAAACAGTGAAAAATTGGTTGAATATAATGGCTTCCTAAATAAAGAAAAACTCTCTCTAAAACTTACCGCCATACATATTCTGAAAAGCAAAAAAAGAAATAAAAGCACTAAGAACAGTGAGATGAACCCTAGATTGCTAAGATAATTAAATACTTGACAACTTTTCATTCCTGCTTTTTCATAAATGCATTTCAAAATATACAAAAAATTGCCAGCATTTGCTGCATTTCAAGCTCATTATTCTCAGACGTGAAAAAGATTTTAAATGTTAGTTAATAACTATTGCTGCTTTTTCTTCCACTATGTGTGTTTTATTCTCAATTTCCAATATGGTGTTGTTTAGCATTTGTTCTACAAGGTGAACTATCAAAAGGGTAATTTAATATTACCAAAACATTGCTAGAAATTGCTTCTCCTAAACAGCACCACGGTTTCTTGCTCTTAATGACTGCATCGTGCATGTGATCCTCTGAGCCATAAGCTGTATTGATGTAACCATGTCAGGGTTGAGGAATAAACTCAGGTTTCTGGCTACTCAGAGCAGAAGAGTCTGCAGTGCAGGTGACTTTCCTCCTGGCATCCATCAATATAAGTTGATGCTTCGGATCAATCTATCTTACTTACTAAAACAGTTCAACTTCGTTTACTATATGTGAATTAATTTTCTCGTATTAGAGATATAAAAGTAATTTAAACAAGATCTTTGCCTTTAAAGAAAATGACCTAGTTGAAACGGTCCTTGTAGAAAACATTACCAGACATTTCAAAAATCAGTTAAACTGATTCCCTTCTTAAATGGTTGAGAAACAGATTTGTATAATTAAAGGTAGTTGTCTTAATAAGTTTCTTGATGGGTCACCAGTGAATACCAGCTAAAAAGTGGGGGGATACTAGTGGAAGTAAAAATTTGCAAGTAACAAAAATATGTATTTCAAAGGAGACCAGCTTACACAAAGTTTTCAGCAAATTTTTTATTCCACTTACCTGAAAACTAATTCACTGACACTGAGCACCCTTTAAAAAAGCAGTAAGGTAATATTTGTTGCAAAGTTTGCTACAGAGTAAAGGAGATTAACAGCAGCAATGTGCTTTGATGTTCTGTTATTTTCAGTTAAATTGCATTCTTATTGAGAAAGCTGTTAAGATGCGTGATTACAATACTGAAGCATTTCTATTGAATGGGGAATAATTTCTTGCCCCCAGTATTTCGAAATGGTGACAGATTCGAAAACTGAAGAATGTGGGATGCGCCATTATGTAATTTAGAAATCACGTACTTACAGGAACGGTGTTAGTTCAAAGCTAGAATTTTTAGTAAGCCACTGGTATCAAGACTGCATTTGAACTGAATACTCTTCCATGATTACACCACATTGACTGATTAAAAACACCGTGTTAAAAAGTCTCTGCTATAATGCATTTGCCTTAGTTTATAACTGTGCATCTCATTACATATTAGAGAAAAATGACAGACTCTACCCCATATACTCCATTTTGATCAGAATGAACATAAATACTGCCTGACAGATGTCTTTCAACTATGTATATTACAAATGTGTGCTTTTTTCTCTTCATAAGTATCTATTCAAGTGTATATAGACAAGTGTATCTGTACACATACATAGACATGTTCTCATGCACTTTATTTGATATTTATATATTTATATGGAGGAAAAGTAAGAGTCATTAATGGAAACACGCAATATATACACATATGTGCATGTTTGTATCATGTCGATTTAAATGTGAATTCATGTTCTAATGTTTCTATGACTTTATTGCTATCAAAGCAGATTAAAATGTAACATAAGTATCAACTCTTTAAATAAACTGGAAGTTTATCTAATTTTGCAGGAAGATTTCACACAATTGTATGAGAGTAAATAAAACAATTTTCTTCGTATATAATAGATTGATATTAAATAAAATGGTACCTTTGGCCCTTGTGTTTAATCTGAGGCTACTACAACTTTTAAAATAGAACCTTTATCCCAGTGAAGCACAGTTCTTGAATGATTTAAGGGTCTGTGATTAAAGGACTCGCTCTTAGTCAATACTATTAAGATAAAGTAAACTTACTCTAAGTTGAATGGTTGATCCTCTGTAAAGAAAGGAATTAAATGCCATAGGGAAAACTCAGCTTAAAGCATACCTAATCCACTTGGCCACAGCGCCACCTCATGGTTATGTTTTAAAAGTTCTACGGTAGCCAAATTGAACTAAGTTACAGTACTGCTTTTGGCAAAGGGTGCTTCTCTCATTTGTGCATCAATGAACATTTGTAAAGTGTTAAATTATCCTGTGCCATATGTAACAAATACAGTGAATATTATTTTATGCAATGATTTTAATCAATGTGATTCTAAAAGATTTCAAGACAGAATGAACAATTGTAAATAAAGTACACTCAAAAATAAGTGCTATTTTGTGAGTTGATAGCTGTGTGTATTAAAGGGAGTTACTCAAAATCTGAAGGTCATCAGAACAGAAACTTGGGGTATTTGGGAGTATAAACTCTGAGCTACTTGAGCTCAGTAACAGAGTTGGGAACTGCTGAGATAAGCTAGATGTATGGCTGTGAGCCAGTATCCAGTTATCTGCAGCAGATAAATGCTCACATTTGATCTCTTTATCTGGTTCCACACAGCCTGGACCATGGTGAACTGCTGATGTACCCAACACATGCACACAAGTACCGTGTGCACTTATGTGCAGGGGTACCACAAGATAGACACACATACATATTTTCACGGGAGGTGGTTTCAGGAACTAAGCAAGGTGACATGATATCAAGTCACCTTAAACATTTCCCTGATTCATCATTTCACCTACAAATGTACAGGAAGTTTGTGAAATAGAAGCAGTGGGTTTCTCTTACAGATGTTCATAGCCAGCATGTGTTATGAACCAGGTAATGAACTAGTTATTTTGTTTGTTGAAATGTATGGAAACTGCAAGATAGGTATTATTATTTCCTTTTTCATAGAAGGAAAAAAGAATATTATTTTCTTTTTCAAAGAAACTGGTACTCAGGACAGTTAGTACCAACATCACATTGATGGCTAGAAAGCTGGCCAGTTCAAGACTGAGTCATCTGACTCAGAAGCATGATTCGTTTTCCTGCCCAATCTGGCCCAGGGGAGAGAACTCCAGGTTGAAAACCAAATAAAGCTGGTTCCCATCTTAACTTCCCAGCTTACTGGTTATGTGAATTTGAATGAATACCTTGACAGTCCTGTGTATCAGAGTCATCATCTCTACAAGGAAGCTAATAATACGAATTTGGCGGCCAGTGACTTAAAGGAGATATTAGCTATCTGTGAACTGTGTCTGATAATCTCCAAAACACCATGTAAATGCTAGAAATGCATTATATTAAAAAGGAAAAAAAAAAACGTGGTTAATTCTTGGCTCCTCAGGTACAAATTAACTGTGCATAGATGTGCATGTTTATTTCTGGGAAGGTTGTTTCTTGAACAGCCCTTAGCTTTCCTGAAGAATAAGTGCTCCTACTATTTGAGTTTAATTTCCTTGAAAAGTTAAAATTTCAAAGCTTTAAAATATTTAAAATTTATAGTACAAAGAAGATATGTAGGCCAAAGGCCTTAATTATAATTAAGATTATGAAATCTTAAAAAGGGTGTTTATTCTGGTTTCTAAAGAACAACACTGCTTGTATCTCCTATTCTGCATTAGTTTCAGATATTAAAATATAATATCTTTATTTAGATGCTCTTTTCTTCTTTGGGGTTATCCCAAATGTAGAGCTCAAACAAGAACTTGGTTGAAGTTTATTTATGTGGAAGTGCTCCCATGGACAGAAAGAATTAGAGAAGAAAAAGGTACCACAGAGAATGAGGGCTCAAGTCTACTAGTAATAGGAGATGAACTGGAACTTTCATCGAAAATCAAAGATGACCAAAGGCATTTGGTCAAGTTCTTGCATGAAAGTTTTACCAGTTATGATTAATCATAGTCTTAAAATCAATATAGACTCCTCAATATAAAGTGCCATTATTATGATTGTGTCAATTTTTAAACATACATATTCATTTTATACAATCAATTCTAAAGTTATTCCTGAGACTCTATTACCAGCACACACACTTCATGTAGAATCAAAATTAAAAGCATGCTGTAGGTATTCTTTTAATAATATAGTAGTTTATTTTTACATCATTTTGTACATTTTCTCATCTCAGTTATAATCCCCATGGGTTTCCCATCACCAAATCACCCATGCGCCATCACCATAATCCAGTGCATTTCCCTCTTTCCACTGTTTTTGATCCCATTTCCCACTCCACCCCCATAAAATGTCTCTGGTACAAAGCTGTTCATTATTATTATTATTTTCTCGCCTGGTCTGTTATACTCCTGCTATGAGTGAAACCATCTGGTATTTTTCCTTTTCTTTCTGGCTTATTTCACTAAGCATGATCCCTTCCAGCTCCATCCATGTTGTTGCA